GCCACAAAGCCTGGCTATTTTTTTGGTTGCAGCCATCATTGTTGTTTGGGCTGGATTCGAACCCGCCACCTTAGGTGTATTTGACTGGTGCCTTAGCCACTTGAGCCACAGGCGCCAAGCCTCAAACTTTTAATACAGTAAAAAAGCAATAGAAAAATGACATAAAGCCCCTGAAGAACCCTCAACCACTTTTACAACCACAAGGGGGCTTAGAGACCAGCATGATAGTTGGTTTCACATGTCGCCACCAGCTGATCCAGAGCCCACAAAGACACCCAGTCCTCCACTGCAGTGCAGGTCCTAGCCCAATGGCTGGCACTCTGCAGGCAGATGTGCAGCAGTGCCTGCCAACATGGGATCTTTCCATGCTTGGAAACCATGAAGCCTGCCCAGGAGGCCCCACCTTGAGGGCATGGGACCACTCAGCTCAGTACCTGGGAGATGAAGTCTTTCTCCAGTTCTCCTTCGGGCTTGCCTGAGCACCTTGAGGCCTCCTCGCACTCCTCCTGGATGCTGTAGTCCTGAGACAGGATCTCTGCGAGGTTGAACTGGTGGTCCGCAGAGCCCATGGACACCACTGTCAAGGAGATACGAGCCCAGGTGAGCACCTACCTCACCTGCCCTAGCCCTTATGCTTAGACTGTGGACATCTGGGGCAGGAGAAGCAATGGGGCCCTTCTGTGCCCAGGGTTGAAGCTCTTGCCCAGCAGTGAGGAAGTTACTTGCCAGGGTCAGTCTCCCTCTTGGGAGCTAACAGAATGCCTCATGAGCAATGCAGGCCCTGGCAGTGTGCCCAGCACACACAAATTCCAGGGAGTTTGGGGGGAATGTCTTTCTGGGGGACTGCTTGGTCTTCCTGAACAAACAGAAGGCTGTGAGGGTTTGGGGAGAGAGCAAAGTAGACTAGGAAAAGAGGAGGTAAGTTAGAGTGGAAGACTATGAGGGCTCCTCGGAGCAGGGGTCATCCCTGGCTCTTCTGCTGTATGTATGACATTAGGTGAGCCCCTTCTCCTGACACATGAGGGTGATGCTATGGAAACAGGACCCATGCAGGGAAAATGCTAGTGGGGCCCAGCAGATGCTAGTCCCTCACCCTCTGCCTGCAGGAAGAAGCTACACCCCATGCACAGCCCAACAGATGCGACTGTCCCCAGATCCAGAGCTTCCCCAAGAGAACCAGGATGTGCTCACTGCTGGCTCTCCCCATAAGTAGTATTCAATAAGCCAAAATTGTTAGTTTGTTTTTTTTAGACACTCATTTTTTTCACCTCACTCTGCTGTTCTAGGTAGAGTGCCACAGCATCATAGCTCATAGAGACCTCAAACTCTCAGACTCAAAATAATCCTCCTGCCTCAGTCTCCCAAGTAGCTGAGACTACAGGTGCCTGCCACAATGCCCGACTAGTTTTTCTATTTTAGGTAGAGACAAGGTCTCGCTCTTGCTCAGGGGGGCTCAAACTCCTGAGCTCAGGCCATCCATCTACCTCAGCCTCCCAGAGTGCTGGGATTACAGCCAATAAGCCAAATTTTAAAACAAATAAGAAAACAGCTAGAGTTCAATCAATCTAATATAGGGAGCAGTGAAACCCAAAGCTGGGATGCTAGGGGTACAGGGCAGGAGACCTCTATAGAGGGACGGTTACAGTGCATGTACACCAGCACAGACTGCAGGTCAGCACAAGTCCAACATGTCAGACACATGCCAAGGGAAAAGAATGACCCAGAGAACAGTGGAACTCTGGAACCACTGGTTCCTTGGAGGAGCAGCCATGTGGGGAGACAGGACAATCCCTTCTTTGGAGGCCAGGGTAGAGGTTGGCTTAGATGCTGGAGAGAGAGGCCACTCCACACTGGCCTGCATCCCGGTGCAGTGAGGGGGAGAGCAAGTATAGAGACCACGGCCCTCCAGCATCAGCTCCTTCCTATCGGCCCCTTGCAGATACTAGCAGGAGAGGCTTGGAACATTGATCCCAAATGGGCAACCAACAGTTCAGGGGCCCAAGGGCCCTGGGAACCCCTCAGCATGCCACCTCTCCCCCAGAGTTATGGAAAGCTGACCCAGCACTCATGCAGATGTGTGCCAGGCGTGGGCAGGAGCTGCCAAAAGAATGGCACTCTGGTCTTCTACTAGAAGCTCTGAGGACAGTCTTGGACCACCTGACTCCTCATCCTGCTAGAGAGCAGGAAGACCGTCCTGACAACTCTGCCCCTAATCACCTGACTAGGCAGAGACTACACTCCAGACTCCGAGAGCCAGTGTACTGCTCCTTGGCTCAGCTAGGACAACCTGTCTCTTATAACCACAAAGGCCCTGGTGGACCTGGGCTGAAGGGAGAGAGGGTAAGGAAGGAAGGAAGGTACCTGCTGTTGTCTGCAAGCCAGGCTCCCCAGGGCACAGGCTGTGTGCAAGGCAGGAAGCCACTCGAGGACTCTGCCTCCCCAGCGAGGAGGCCTATGAAGAAAGAGAGGCAATGTTAGCTCCGCTGGTATAAAACCTACCAATGGACCTCACAGCGCTGGTCACAGCCTAGTCCCAGTAACCCCAAGGAAGTGGCTTCACTTTTATCTCTGGGTTCTGCGGACACTGAGAGTAGGACACACATACACCCACTGTTGGCTATGCCTCCACCAGAGACCTGCTCACAGGATCTAAGCACTCTACTCAGAGCCAGGCACGCCTCATATGACACTTACTAAAAATTGCCTACTAGCAGCCCTACGGTCCTGACCCAGGCTACAATGTGGATGGACCTTGAATACACATATTCTGTGAGAGAAGGCAGACATACAAGGCCACACAGGGTGTGACTCCACTTATATGAAATGTCTAGAATAGGCAAATCTAGACTGAGACAGGAAGTGGATTTGTGATTATCAGGGGCTGGGGGAAGGATGGAGTGAGTGATTGGTGATAGGGATGGGGCTTCTGTTTGAGATGATGAAATATTCTGGAATTAGATTGTGGTGATGGTTGCATGACTCTGAATATATTAAAAATCAATTAATTATATACTTTTTTTTGAAACAGGGTCTCACTTTGTTGCCTGGGTAGTGGCCATCCTAACTCACAGCAACCTCAGACTCCTGGGTTCAAGCAATCCTACTGTCTCAGCCTTCCAAGTAGCTGGGATATAGTTGCCCACTACCATGCCCGGCCAATTTTTCTATTTTTTGTTGAGATGGGGGCTCTCACTCTTGCTCAGGCTAGTCTTGAACTCCTGGCCTGAAGCAATCCACCTGCCTCAGCTTCCCAAAATGCTGGGGAATGAGCCTAGGCATGAGCCATTGTACCCAGCCTAATTATACACTTTAAATGGATGTATTTTATGGTTTGTAAATTAGATCAATTTTTTTAAAAAAGCAAACCAAAAACCATTATAACAGTTACCATTACCACGATGTTCAAAAGTTTACTAGAAACAAGAAAACTATAGATAAACGTCTTATGAATATAAACATAAAAATCCTCAACAATATACTAGTAAATTTATTCTAGCAACATATAAAAATGATTATAAACCATGAACAAGTAGAATTCATTGCAGGGATGCAAGACTGGTTTAACACCCAAAAGTCAATTAATGTAATACACCATATCAATAAAATAAAAAGCCAGAACACATGATCATCTCACCAGACCTATTTAGCAAAATTCCACATGCTTTCATGATAAAAAACACTCAATAGGTAGGAATAGAAGGGAACTTCTCAACCTGATAAATACCCACAGTTATTATTGTATTTAATGGTAAAACACTGGATGCTTTCCCCTTAATGCCATGAACACAATGGTAAAGTCCACTCTGACCTCCCCTATTCAATGTAGTGGTAAAAGGTGCAAGAAAATAAAATAAAATAATCAAGACTGCTAAGGAAGAACTATCTCTTTTTGCTGGTGACATGGTCTTGTACATGAAAAATCATAACTAAAGATTATTTGATGCATTCTAGAAAAACATTCCAAGGAAATGGAAAAAAATGCAAAGAGGCCGGGAGCAAGGGCTCACACCTGTAATCCTAGTACTCTGGGAGGCAGAGGCTGGTGGATTGCTTGAGCTCAGGAGTTCGAGACTACAGAGTCAGATTCCATTTCTACTATAAATAGAAAAACTAGCTGTGCATTGTGGCAGGCACCTGTAGCCCCAGCTACTGGGGGGCGGGCTGAGGCAAGAGGATGATGCTTGAGACCAAGAGCTTGAGGTTGCTGTAAGCTGTGATGCCACAGCTCTCTACTGAGGGCAAAAGAGTGAGATTCTTGTCTCAAAACAAAACAAACAAAAAAACTACTCAAGCAAATAAATCAGTTTCACCAGGTTGCAGTATACAAAAATCAATATATAAAAATCAATTTTATTTCTATACAGAAGCAATGAACAATCCAAAACAAATTAAGAAAAAATTCTATTTACAACAGCATCAAAAGAAATGTAAAATGTATAGAGTACTCTGAATGAAAAAAGCAGTGTTCAAAGAAACTAATGTCTAAGTAAACGAAAAGACATCCCATGTTCATGGCTGAGAAGACTTAACAGTAAGATGGCAATACTCCTCAACTGATTTACAGATTCAACACAATCCCTTATCAGATTCCCAACTGGGTTCTTTGTAGAAACAGACACACTAATTCTGAAACTTAAGGGACCCAGAAAAGCCAAACAAACTTGAAACTTCCTGATTTTTTTTTTTTAGACAGAGTCTTACTTTGTCACCCTCAGTCAAGTGCTATGGTGTCACAGCTCACAGCAACCTCCAACTCCTAGGCTTAGACAATTCTCTTGCCTCAGCCTCCCAAGTAGCTGGGACTACAGGCACCCACCACAATGCCTGGCTTTTTGTTGCAGTTTGGCCGGGGCCAGGTTGGAACCCGCCACCCTCGGTATATGGGGCTAGTGCCCTACTCACTGAGCCACAGGCACCACCCAAAACTTCCTGATTTTAAAACTCACTATAGGCCAGAACTATACGCTATATAACCCCAGCACTCTGGGAGGGTGAAATGGTAATACTGCTTAAGGTCAGAAGTTCCAGACCAGCCTGAGCAAAAACAAGACTCTATCTCTACTATAGACAGAAAAATTAGCCAGACAGGGTATACATCTGTAGTTCCAGCTACTCAGGAGAGTGAAGTAGGAGGATTGAGCCCAGGAGTTAGAGGTTGCAGTGAGTTACAATAATGCCACTGCATTTTAGCCTGGGTGACAGAGACTCTGCCTCAAAAAAACAAACAAAAACAAACACCTTACTACAAAGCTACAGTAATCACAACAGTGTGCTTCTGCATAAGGACAGGCTTATAGATCAATGGAACAGAACTGAGATTCCAGAATAAAGTCACACATTCACAATCAACTGAATTTTGTTTTGGGGTCTTTTTTTGAGACAGAGTCTCACTTTGTCACCCTTGGCAGAGTACCATGGCATCACAGCTCAAAGCAACCTCAAACTCTTGGGCTCAAGTGATTCTCTTGCCTCAGCCTCCTGAGTAGCTGGGACTACAGATGCCCACCACAACACCCAGCTATTTTTAGAGACAGGGTCTCCCTCTTGCTCAGGTTGGTCTCAAACCTATGAGCTCTGGCAATCCACCCACCTCGGCCTCCCAGAGTGCAGGGATTACAGGCATGAGCCACAGTGCCTGGCCATCATCTGAATTTGGATGAAGATGCCCAAACAAACCAATGGGGAACGAACGGTCTTTTTAACAAAGTGCTGAGACAGTGGCTATCCCTATGCAAAAAAAAGATATTGGAGCCCCATCTCATACTATATGTTATTAATAAAACTAACTCAAATTAGATGGAAGACCTTAAATACATGAGCTAAAACTATACAACTCTTACAAAAAAATGTAGGAGTAAATATTTGTGACCTCAGATTTGGCAATGGTTTCTTTAAGACACCAAAGACAAAAAATAAGGCAAAAATAGATAAAACCATACTTCATCAAAATTAAAAACTTTTGTGCTTCAAAGGACACAATCAATAAGGTGAAAAGACAATGCACAGAATGAGAGAAAATATTTGCAAATCAAGAATCTGGTAAGGGATTTGTTAAAGCACTTTTACAACTCAATAATAAAAAGGCAATTCAATTTAAAAGTAGGCAAAGGATTTGAATAAGCATTTCTCCAAAGATATACAAATGGCCAATAAGCACATGAAAAGATACTCAACATTGCATCAGGGAAAAGCAAATAAAACCCACAAAAAGATACCATTTTAATAAGAATAAGACTATGACTATACCACTTTAATAAGAGAATGACTATGATTAAGAAAGCAAATAACAAGTGTCCACAAGAAGGCAGATAAACTGGAACCTTATACACTGTTAGTGGAACATAAAATGATGCAACTTTTTGGGAAAACACTCCAGCAGCCCCTCCAAAAGTTAAACATGTATTGGGTTTTCTTTTCTTTTCTTTTCTTTTTTTTTTTTTGAGACAGAGCCTCAAGCTGTTGCCCTGGGTAGAGTGCTGTGGCCTCTGAGCTCACAGCAACCTCCAACTCCCAGGCTTAAGCAATTCTCCTGCCTCAGCCTCCCAAGTAGCTGGGACCACAGGTGCCCACCACAACACCTGGCTATTTTTTGGTTGTAGTTGTCATTGTTGTTTGGCAGGCTGGGGCTGGATTTGAATCCACCAGCTCCAGTGTACGTGGCTGGCGCCTTAGCTGCTTGAGCTACAGGCGCTGAGCTGAAGCATAGTGTTATTATACAACCCAAACATAAGCTCTTAGCTATAACTCGAGAGAAATGAAAATACACATCTACAGTAAAACTTATACATGAATGCTCAAAGCAGGGTTATTCATAACCAAAAAGTGGAAAGAACCCTAATATCCATCAGCTAAGAACAGACATACAAAAACAAAACAGTACAATATTACTCAGCTATGAAAAAGAAAGAAGCTCTGACGTAGGCCATAATGTGGATAAACCTCAAAGACGCTGTATTCAATGACAGAAGCCAGACACAGAAGGACCCATAGTATGAAGACACTTTATATGAAATGCCTAAAACAGGCAATTCCACAAAGTTAGAAAGTGGATTCATGCTTGCCAGATACTTGGGGGATGATATGGTATTTGGAGAATGACCACTAAAGAGTGTGGAGTTCCTTTTGTGGTGATGAACTGTTCTAAAATTGATAGAGGTGATAGTTTCACAACTCAGTGAATATAATAAAAACCACTGAATTGTGCACATTAAAATGGGTGAACTGGGTGGTACCTGTGGCTCAAGGAGTAGGGCACCAGCCCCATATACCAGGGGTGGTGGGTTCAAACCTGGCCCCAGTCAAAAAAAAAAAAAAAAATGGGTGAACTGTATGATAAATGGATTGTATCTCAGTAAAGCTGTTGCCAAAGTGTGGATCAAAATATTTAATAAAAGTTTGAAAACTTGTCTAGTAAGAATTTCAACACTGCTTTCCTCACTGAGTCCTTA